GAAGCATAAAAAATATAGTTTTTTCAAAATATAAAATAAGGGAACCAAGGCATATAAAATAAGGCAACCCCTTGGGTCATAAACACACCTCATATCTTCGACTTCTTATGACAAATATTTTCCACTTGGTTTTATTAAAAAATATTAATTAGAAGTCGAGATATGATAAAAAAACGATTTTCGGGGGTGAATTTCAAGGGTCGTTTTCACCCCTTTAAAGTGGATGTCAGCACAAAAAAAAATACTTGTCTCTTATTTTGTCGAGTACTACAACATATCACAAAATTATTGAAATCGGTGGGGTCGGGTTGGGGGGGTTTCCTTGTTAGTGCTGCGAAAGCTCTTTCCAAAAGTTATATTTTCAATTGTTTTTCATATTTTTCATTACAAAAAGGTTAGTAGAATAGTTTTCATATTGAAAATCGTTACTGTACAAGAAAAATTTATATTTAAATTGACGTAATTCGACAAATATCATCTCATTATTGAAATGTGAAGAAAACTACATATTTTATATGTCAATCGTAGAGAAATGGGTCGAAAAGCAGAGCTGAGTGTAGAGACACGAGCAGTCATTGTGGCATTACACGAAGAAGGTTATTCAACGCGAAAAATTGCTTCTAAACGTGATATTTCTCAAACTGCAGTCATGGGAGCGTTACAAAGAAAGCGAGGTGAACCTAAACTTTTGACTGGTTGTGTATATTGTTGAAATCATAGACAGTTTTTATAGGTTGCAGAAATATTTTAGAACAGTACCTATAAAATGATTTTTAGCAAATATTCATTCGAACATTTTTTTTCATATTAAAAGCGATTGCTTTTTAATATTTTTGTAACATTTCAAATGATTCCATATAATTTTTTTTCAAATCTTTTAAAACGTTATGGTAACATTTATGAAATAAAACGCTGCTAATAAAAAAAAAACAATTCCTGAAACGTATTAAAATATTTGGATAAAACTATGATAGGAAGCGTTTTGAAATATTGGAGAAATCTTAGTATTAAGTCGTTGCCAATGTGAAGACAACAAGGTCACATGAATTTTGCTAAATATTTTTCAATGAATACAAAATAAACATTTCATTTGAAAATATTGTCGCAACCTATAAAGAGTTTTATTGATTGCAACAAGATGTCGGAATTATATTTACTATATTGCAGTGAAATATTTAAACAAATATTTGACATGAAGCCATCAACCATATTCCTGTCGCGATAAAACATTGCACATATTATTGTAATTTTTTAAATTCAGTTATCTAGGCATAAAGTCTTCATTTTGTTATTTTAATCTCTATTAACCCTACCTCTTTTGTATACGTTCAACCCGACAAATTGTATGCAGGTGCTATCTAGATTATATTTTATTAATATTGTGCATTGAGATTTCCAGAATATTGACCGGCAATATTATAGCAATATGATGCTTGTAACGTTCTGAGCGGGCATTGCAAGATTTTTGCAACATTCATGAAATATTTTTAACAACTTTCACTATATTTCCGCAATATTGCATTATTTCAAGGAAAATTTTTCGCAATTTTGACAAAATATTTCCGTGATGTGTGGGTTGTACCGCTTGAAAAGTATGACACGTATTTTTTTTTATCGGCGAAAAAACAGTTTTGGGGGGATGAAATCAATCCCCAAAGTTCGACATGTCGAGGGGTGATAATGCAGTTTCACCTAGAAGAGGTCGACCGATTTCAATGAAACAAAAACTAACATGTTTCTCATCACGAGTAATGAAAAGTACACCTAGACATTAAAAAGAAATTGTTTCTTGTGGGGGTAAAACTCGATTAATATTTTTTTTTCATCCTATTTAAAGTTGTTAATCACAAAAATTAATTTAATGTCAACTCTTCGAGATTTATACAGCACATAGATGAATAGTTTCTAGATTCAACTCGAAAAAGATCGAAACTGGTTACAATCTTTATTTTCGAGATATTGAACGCTAAAGTTGACTCAAATCATCAAGGTTATGCATTGCATATGGCGTGAGGCATCACCGATCATATTCACTGTCTCATATTTATGGTCAGATCAATGTCAGTCGTATAAAAAAAACACACACGATATAGCACAGGGAATGCAGATCAAGATGGGTGCGTTCCACTTAATGCTCGCAATGCTCGCGTCCACGACCGTAAGATTTCGTGTTCCACTAGCTTG